AATTTTCATTATTATGTCTAACATTCTTTTTATTCATTAAATTAAAATAGCTGCTCCAGCTGTTTATTTTCCCTTTTTCTGTAGTTCCATCTAGCGGACCTTTATGGAAACTCAATTGAGAATAAGTTTGCCCATCTAACAATTTTGTTTTTGTCGTAATCAATATGTCCTGCTCATTTTCTTTGTTTGGATCAGTACTTAATATAACACTTCTCCTATTTTACTTTTTATGTACCGAACTGATCGATTTTTGAGACCTGTAAAAAAATTATTACATATATCTCGTAGTTGAGAAATCGTCTTTTTATGTTCCATTTTCTTTTTTGAGCTATTCTCAAGCAATATATTCTCTATTTCCAAATTAGCGCTAGCGAGTATGATTTTAGTTCTTTCCAATTCTTTCTTTATGATTTCCAGTTCGAAATTGAATGGGGTTGAAATATCAGGTGAACCCTTTATGACATATTCCGAATCAGATGAAGTCAACGAGGTGTTATGTGTGAGCTGGTACATGTTTTATGTAATTTTTTTTAGATCCTTTTGTCACATTTTTTTCATATTTATGCTCATCAGTATTTTTCTCGCTAGTTTCTTGCTCTTGGCTGTTTAAATTTGTAGTACACATAGATGAAATAATTTTACTGCTTTTTTGTTTTGTGTTAATGCAATTAATTCATCTCCATTTCTGCTTTCTCTCCTTAAAAATAATGTCAAATCTTTTAAAATGGATATTGGTGCAGTCTGGCTCATATAATTTATTACAAATATTACATTTTAAATAATTTAAATTGAAACAATATTTCTCTTTAGATGCAGTGTTAGTTTTAATTTTTTTTACAACGCCCTCTAATATTGCAGTCACTAAAACTGTATAAACTATAAATATGTAAGCATTTTTTAGCATTTTTTATGGGATTAGGGTGAGAAACGAGCACACAGGCAACCGGTGGTAAGTGGATGCTGTGGCCCATAGACACCGACATTCAACCTCGATTACGAATCAAAATGCAGATGCGTTGTCATCCTTGAGGTCTAAGATGGAATGCCTCGATGCCAGTAAAACGGGTCTCTGGAGTATTATTTTATTTTATCATTAGAGTGATTTCCGTAAGTTTTATACAAAATGCAACACCCTATTTTATTCCCATAGAGTTTCAATTTTCCTAAATCTTTTGTTTTTGGATGATTATTTTATAAAATGAGCATTTTGATCTAATTTCACACTTCTACGTTCAGCGATTTCGGCTATGGGTCCTAATACAATTTTCTTCATAAAAATTTCGCACCCTCGTTTTAAAACCTTTTATTTTTAAACGGGAATTTTATTACTTAATTCATAGTTTCAAGTTAAAAATCTATTTTTTTTTTTCAAAATACTAATCGCTAAAATGTGTTCATTTATTTTATTTGTAGAGTATTTTCAGTAAGTTTTAAGACAATCGCTGTGTAAAAAAAATTCAATACAAATTTTACACTTTTTTTTCCCTTTTTAGGGGTTGAATTTTCCAAAAACCCGTTCTCGGTGGGTACCTAAAAAGCAGCTACTGTCCCAATTTAAAATTTATACGTCTAAAGGTTTGGCCTGTGCATTGATAGATGAGCCAGTCACTCAGGACATCCCCTTTTATATACAATATGTAACGTAATTAAGGCACACCCTCAAACACTCCAATTAGAATATTGTGTTATAATCATAATACATACACTGAATTTTTAGTTAAACATTGTATGCACTGATTATTTATCAAATTATTATACTAATTCCGGAAGAATATTGTGGTCACAGTACAAATCAACGAACGTAAAGACTTTAACGTGCTTGAAATGAAGTTCATTTTTCTTCATTTTGATTGAATGACAGAATTAGTAATAGTACAGATAAAACTGCACTCTTAAAAGTCTTATTGCATTAAGTTACGGTCCATTTCAGTTTGTTTTAACTGTACAGATTTAGTAGATATAGATTTAAGATAAGCTTAAGTTTTTTGATTACCGTTTAATTTTTAACAGATGAAGTAAAGCCGTTTTAAACGAAAGAACCATAATATAGCGATTAATGTTCTCTTCATCTTCTTTATCATCCTTTCCAAATCCAATTAGTCTGTAATAATATTATAAAAAAATAATAGATCTTTAACTATGAAATTGCCATTCTGCAGTATGACGATTAATGGATTCTTTTTGACAATCGCAAGCGTTCATCTAGTTTGTTGGATCCTGGTTCAGGATATAAACAATACCCTAACCAAAAACTTACCCCTAGGAAAATGATGGTCACTGAATGGTTTGGTGCCGATTACTGCAAATGTGTACTGTGTAGAACTGAACACAGTGATGGAGAAACTTGCACGTTACCAACCAGCTTTGGTCAAAGGTGGTGTTATGTCGTGCAGGAGCTGCGAAAAAGTCAATTTTTCGCTGCTCCTGCACGACAACCCGCGACCTCATATTCACACAACAGACGGTCTCCAAGTTACAAAAGCTAGGGTTAGAAGCTCTCCGTCATCCGCCGTACTGACTAGACCTTGTGCTTACAGACTCCTACTTTTTTTGGATAATTTTTGGCGGGAAAATGCCTCAATACCCGAGAGGTAGTACAAAATGCCTTTAAATAATTTGTTGCCTTTCTCAAGAAGGTCATCAAAAAACTGCCACTGCGTTAACAAATATGCATTGATTGCATGGACGATTATTTTGATGAATATAAATAAAAAAAATATTGAAATAAATACGTTATTTCATAAATATTAAATATTTTCAGTTTTCTTATTATACAAACTAAGGCCTATCATAGTGGAAACTCTGTCTACTGAATTAGAAAAAATATTACTACACATATTATGTTTCACATTTTCTGGGTTTTAAATATAATATTTGATATGTTTATTCTTTTGTTTGTTGTAATTGTTATCCAGAGCATGCAATAAAATAAGGAATGCAAAGGTGTTCACTATAGTTCGTAAGCTAATCTAAGCAAGTTTTATATATTTAATATTGAACTTGAGAACTTGAGTATTTCGTACTGATGAGTAATAACATAGATGACCTTAAAATAAAAACCTAACTGAAATATTAAGGATTTTATTTGCTGTGAAAATATTGCTTGAGTCAAATTGCTAAATAAAACTCACCAAAGCATTCACACGTATCTCGTAAAACCTAATGGTGTGTGCGACAACGTGAGAATGGATGTTTTTAAAAGATAAACTGACGTGATATTTGGAGTACCCAAAAGACAAATAAAGACAATAAATATGGCTTTATTATTATATGTACCGTATATAAAATGTATTTAGTGTTCCTCAGCGAATAAAACTTGGTATAACACCCAAAGTGCTCATGAAAATATACTTTAAAAAATTTATTCTGTAACTCTCTAATATATCGGATATGAATGGATTATTTAAAAATATCACACAATGGACCATATAATGGTTTTTAAAAATTACCAAAACAAAATCGCAAGTAGTACATAAAATATGATATTTTAGAAAAAATACTGACTTTTTGACGTTCTTCTTCAATACAACCACAAATTATTGCATTTCATTGGTGTCGAAGTTGGCTACACCGTCAGAGAGGCAGTAAATAGTACGACTTTTTTTTAAAAAAGAATATTAACAATGCTATAAACATTACTAATATTCCCCTTAACTTCACTCCTTTTTCACAAAAATGTGGCTTTGTGACGCTTTGATAAGACACGCCTCAACAAATCGTCACTGATGCAGGATGATGACCACGTTATACCATTTTTTTCATTACAAGCTTTTGAAGTGTCTGGAATATGACCGACGGCTCCATACCCACTTTTTGCAAGGCGATCACCACAATCCTATTTTTTTTAACACCCCATTCCATATTGTAATTTTATAATGAACACGAAAAAATATGTGAACTGACGCGAAATCGAAAGAACGAAAGAATTTTTAAAATAAATAACGCGTTCCAAATTCAAAATTATTAAAAAGTTGTAAAAAAAGAAAAGTTTTTATGTAACAGTATTTATAGCCAGACTAGTTATACCTATATGTTTATATACACGCAAACAGACATATACATACAACAGAAATATTTCTTAAACAAAATTTAAACACTTAAATAAAATTAAAAAACCGTTTAATTCCCGAGGTTTCCACGGGGGACTTTTTAACGACTTGTACAAAACAATTAAAATTTCATAAAGTATCGCCAAAAGATATCTTAATTTTCAAAACTATTGATGTTAAAAAATACGCAGGCTTATGAGGAATTTCCGTTAAAATTAATGTGGTCATAAAAAAAATAACTACACTTTATGTAGCCATTATTGTTAATAATACAAGCATAACAATTTACCCATACATGCGAATCTGGTGTGTTTTCTGATTTAACACATTCACGGACAGTACGCCCATTTTCGTGACATTCTGAATTTATATTACGACACAACGCCTATTTACGATAAAATATTTTTTTCCTTATTTGCCACTACGTAAATAAGCGCGGTATTCGTTTACGGTTAATATTATGAAGATCTACTTTTACTGTCATAACCCAAACAGTATCAAGATTGTACTGTCACAACATAAAATTTTATCATAGTAAATGTGTGCTATCTACACATACATGCAAATTTTGCTATAGTACACATGTTGTGGCACCACGAATGTAGCCGTTGCGTTCGCGTCGTGAGTCAAACGAACCAGTCGCGTAGTGTCACCGGGAGGAGAGGACACGCTCGCTTGCGTCAAATCGTTCGTCGTCGTTCGTTGAAGTATTCAACGAACGACGTGTTTTTCCTGGTAAGTAATTTAGTGTTATAATATGTTATTGTCTGTATAAAGATAACCGAATAGTAACCAGTCTTTCAAAAATGGTTAATACTTATTGTATCAAAAAACCGTTAGCATAAAAAACACGATAAATTTAAAAATATAATGGAATAAACTTCATATTATTTTGTAGGTAAGTATCGATTTTTTCTTTTGTTATTCTAATTCTCTTTCAATTGTCTTCAGATGGCCTCAAAAAGAAACAAATTGAGCAGAGGCAAGCCAACATCTTTGTTTCGAGATGATGAATCTAACCACGATCCATATTCTGACGATGATGGTGAATATGGTTCAGACCACAATTACGAGCCCGCTGATGAAGGTGAAGATAGCAGCAGTGACTACAGTGAAATTTTCGATGTTCATAGAAGTCGCTTTGAACGGAATAGACAAAGAATTGGGTCTGAAAGCGAGAAGTCGTATCATATTTCTGCTGGCGATCAAAGCGATAATGGCGAGCAGTTAGACCAGAATTCTGTTAATGAAAGAAGCTTTAATGAAACCGAACATTATTCCGACACAAGCGATTGTAGTATTTTCGATCACCATTAAATTCAAGTAGCAGGGAATGAGAAAGAAAGCAGCGTTCAAAGGTATGAAAGTCAAGAGAACAATGCTGTTAGAAATCATAAAGATAACAATGATATTCACTTACAACAAAATTATGAGCTACCGGAATACAGAAATCAACAAGACGAAGAAGAAATAAGAATGAGTCTGGAGATTAATGAGGTGATTGGTGTTCAATTTCCAAAAATTCAGGAGCCTTCTCAGGATAGAAGAGGAGAAGAAAAACTTACAGCTAGAATGAGAGAGGAGCTGAATGAGGTGGTTCAAGATCAATCTCCACAAAATCAAGCACAATCTCAGGCAAATTTAAATGAGGCTGGACCGAGCAGAAGAAGAAGTTCAGTAAATACAGTACGTCGAGAGACTCCTCCACCAAATGACACAATTTGGGAAGATACTGTCTCAAATATTGCTTCTATTGACTTTAGATCTCCAGAGAAAGGCCCAACATTTGAAGTTCATGAAAATACCACGTGCGAGGAAGTATTTGACCATTTATTTACCACAGAGATGATAGAGGATTTGGTTGAACGAACAAATTCCTATGGAGCTGCTCTTACCAAAACAAATAGGCCACATACACGTCATGCACGCAATGCTGCCTTTCGAGCAACAAATCCTGAAGAGATGAAAAAATTTTTAGGTCTTACTTTATTAAATGGTCACATTCGTGTTCCATAACAAAGGAAACTTTTTACATATGACGACCCCTTGTATTTTCACCCTGTCTTTAACTATACAATGTCTTGCAGAAGGTATGAGCAAATTTTAAGATGTCTGTATGTAGGTGATTTAGGTGCGAAAGGGTCTGGAAAAATTGAAGGTTTTATAAACACAGTGACTCAAAATTTTCGAAATGTATTCAATCCAGGTCAAGACTTGTCTCTTGACGAGTCTTTGCTACTATATAGAGGACGATTAATATTTCGTCAGTACATAAAATCAAAAAAAGCTAGGTATGGCATAAAGTTTTACGTTTTAACTACAGCAGATGGATACGTTTTAAATATTATAATGTATAGCGGAGCAGAAAATATTGAAGCCAATGAAAGGAGGACTGACAAACTGGTACTGTGTTTAATGCGCCCATATCTTTTAAAAGGGCATAACTTATTTATGGACAATTACTACAATTCAGTGACCCTTTCTGAAAAATTACTTGATTTGAAAACACACACCAACGGCATGCTGCGTAAGACAAGAAAAGACAATCCTAAAGAAATTGTACAAAAGAAACTCCAAAAAGGCCAGCATGTGTGGGCTAGGAAAGGAAAAGTCTATGTAAGTGCCTGGAAAAATAAAAGAGACGTCTATATGGTTACCACCATGGATCATCCAGCGCTCATTGAAGTCACAAACCGATTTGGAAAAAAGAAAACTAAACCCATAGAAGTGAACAGATATAACAAATCCATGTCCGGTGTTGATCGCTTGGATCAGATGATAAGTTATTATTCATCACCAAGAAAAACTATAAGTTGGTATAAAAAGGTCCTATTTCATATTATGGACACCACAGTTTGGAATTCCTTTTACATTTATAAAAATTTTGTGAAAAAAGATAAGAAGTATGAGTATGTGACATACAGAGAAGAGTTAATCAGGAAATTGATCGGCCTGAAAGAAGAAAAAGGAAAAGATTTAATTCGAAATTCCAACAAGAATGACAGCAGGCGGTATGTGCTTCAAACTGAATCACAGCTTCATGAAAATATTGAACGCAGTAAGGTAGAAACGAAGGACAACTTTTCTCAGCCACATTCAGGAAACCATGGACATTGGCCGACTCGCATGATGCCATCTGCAAATTCTAAGAAGAAGTAAGCATTTTTGACATGTAAGCAATGTTCGAAACAAAAGGTACGACGTGACACAAGTTACTTCTGTAAAGGTTGCAATAATTCTCCAGCAATTTGTCCTTCATGTTTCGAAGATTGGCATAAAGATTTGTAAACTGTCAAGTTTAATTTTATAAATACATAGATTATCATAATATCAAGGATGACATTTTAAATATTCCTTATTTAAAATGTCATCACATTGATATTATGATAATCTAAATTTTATAAAATATTGTGATACTACATAAAAAAAGACTGTTTGTTATGCTTAAGTTAGTTAGCTTTTTAGCTTATTAAAAAAAGGAGACCTAGAAAAATAATAATTATATGTTAATTGAGAGAAAAGACGTATCTGATAATTATTTTGTTTTGTTAATTATTAACCAAGTTTAAGTTAAGAAAATATTTTTGTTTAAATATAAGACTGTTATTTTTTTTAAGTTTGGTGTAAAAGTATGATTTTCCATAGTTTTGATTTATTCAATAAAACATTTTTTTTGTTTCACAAAGTTTTGATTATTATCATCATGATTCCTATGGTAGGGACGTAAACTGACGTACTGTCATACTACACTTATTTATACACATAATCTTGATAGCAACATGGCAGTACGCCTATTCGCGATGCGTACAGAGACTTACTGTCATATGCACACGATGATATCAATCACGATGCGACAACACGACTATTTCGTGGCACGTACCGAAGCGTACTGTCATATGAACGCCATAATTTTAATTACGATGTGACAGCACGACTATTTCGTGCCACTAAATAAGCGTACTGTCATTGGAAGACCATAATTTAAATTACGACGTGGCAGCACGACTATTTCGTGCCACGTACATAAGCGTACTGTCATTAGAAGGCTTTGACTACGATATGACAGCACGATTATTTCGGGCCACGTACAGAAGCGTACTGTCTCACCACAATTGTACAAATATATTGCTATGTGTCAGGAAGTATATAGGCGTGGTAGTAATTTGTATGGAATTTTTTAGTGTCATATTTCAAACTTGGTGCAGTGTCCAGTGTCCGTGAAAGTGTTAATGAAACAAAGTTATGTCAAATCTTTATTTAAATTCGTATGTAATGTACCACACGTTAAGCCCTGACCTCTTAAAACATTTTTTTTACTAGCAACATTCAGAAAAATGTTTGAAAAACCATTTTAGATCAAATATTAAGTATTTATACAAATAAATTGATGTATAGAAATACAAATTTGCATTAAACATATTTTCCGTGCATAAAAGACCTCGAAAGATGATTTGGGTATATTTTATAATCCTTAAGGATCTTCAATTGTGATAACTATGAGACATTAATCAGAAAGCTAACAGTGTTATATTTTAAAGAGCACAACGCTCAAACTTATATCAATCTTAAGTAAAAGAAGTCCGAATGTGATTATCAATTGACGTTCCCTAGGGCTCAAATCTCTCGATTTCTGTCTGTAGTCCATATTAATAAATCATCTTACCCTGTACTGGATGACTATAATATATTATTAATTGCTAATGATAATGAATTGATTTTGAAACTTAGGCGGTGTTCGTTTAAATATGACGAAGTCAATAATGTCAAATTTAGTGAGTTCTTTTATAAAAAATTACATTTGAACGGCAATAAAACTTAATGTATAAAATGGTTTTCTTGGCATTACTATTACCGCAAAACTTCAATTGCGCGTCCTTTTATCTAAACAAACATCTAGCAAGCAGACTAAGCTTTGTACCTTGTTATTTTTTTTAAATAAAACGGAACGCTCTCGGCAGTTTACATACGCAAACTGAACAAAAAAAAATTTTTTTTGTGCGGAATTCCGACCTGCGGCTCTCATCACTATAACTCAATGATCAGCTAACGTGCCTTGGAACCGTCAAATATACAAAAAAGATTAAAGGTTCACTAGCATTAAGACAGCTATCTTATTTTAGCTATATGCATAGCATAATGTATAACGTAGAAGGAAATGCGATTGAGTTAGAACAGTTTATACTTTATAAGTTTGCCCAAAGAGTTATTTAATCCAAAACCGAGTCTTGGATGAAATTTTAAAGAAATATACATATATATTTACTTTGCCTCTTCATTATATTTACTAATATCTAATATATATTTACAAAAACAAGAGTGGATTTAATAAAAAAGAAAGAAATCAGGTTATCGCTTTCAAACTGTTTATTAAGTGATTTTTTAAGTAATCGTACAACCTGTATGTTTTATTGTGAAATATTGCTTTGGGAAAGTGCCTCAGGGTGTCTTGTTTGTTCTTCCCAATTTTTTTCGAAACAATTGTAAAGTAAATATGACTTTCAATAACAATTATTTATTGTATAACGTCAAATCATCCAATTTTGTCAATGTTGTATATTTTGCCCGCTATGCCAATTTGCTCAATCACAAATTTAAAAATTGCTATTTAATTTACGTTAATTTTTTTTTGTTTTAAATAAATGTAGGCTATATTTCTGGCACTACTGAGAATGGTTTTTACCTTTGATTACACTCAGTTGCTTGTCAGAACCAGTCAAAGTGCACGTGTGTTTTGATGCGGATCCATTTAGCCTCAGTGTTTCTTGGTATGCTTCTCAATGGCGAAGACAAAGGTGAGATTATCTTGTAACATGGTCTAGAAAGGGGTTTCTAGAATCTTTTTACACAGATAAACACTCACGCCTGTCACCCAGAGGGGTAGGCAGAGACTACAGACTTCCATTTGGCACGATCCTGACACACCTCTCTCGCCTCCTTCACATCCATACACCTACGCATACATGCTCGTCGGTTAAGGGTACTCCTAATTTGGCCCGTTTTCAATAAATCGCCAATTTGGTCGATAAATTTTCGCCTAGGACGTCCCTTTCCGACTCTGCCATTCACTTCTGCAACATAAATTTGCTTTGTCACTCTTTCCTCATTCATTCTTTCCACATGACCAAACCACCGAAGCATTCCTTTCTTAATCCTGGTCACAATATCATCTTGCAAACCACACTCTTCTCTTATTACACAATTTCTTACCCTGTCGTTCAGATTCAGCCCTAACATACTCCTTAAGAACCGCATTTCTACTGCGTTGATTCTTCTCTCGTGCTTCTTCTGCCACACCCAACTTCCACTACCATACGTTAAAGTAGGGACCAACACAGCATTGTGAATTGCCATACGTGCCTTTTTTGACACATTTTGACTCTTCACAATAGAGTGCAGGGCCCCATTTACTCTATTTCCTGTCAGTATTTTAAATAGTGAATGATGACAATGTGCAAAATAAATCGCAAAAGTTGCGTCTCCCAGTTGTCAATTTTGCCCATCCAAAAAAAGTGTACAAGGGTTATCACTTTCTTATTAACCGACAGCCTAAGACGAAGAGATATGTTTGTGAGCTCCTTTGTAACCTCCTGTAGCTTAACAAGATTGGCGATTTTATGTGAGGAGTCATTTTTGCCTCAATGATCGGAATGTCTACATGTTGGTTACGAGCTATGGTTCATATTAATGTGTTAATTTGAAAAAAAAAATCATCGCCTTTTACATGCAGTTTGGTTCAAATTAATTACACTTATTTTTACATAATAGATTTAACTCTTTATATTGGTATTGCGCAAATAAGTACATATTATCTATTTTAAATTTATTTATTATCTATTTTGAGGGTAACGTTAATCGAACCTTTTTTAATATTTATGTTTTATATGAAGAAATCGACTACGTCAGGGATAATTTGCAAATAATACATTAAAATAAAACCAATTTCTCTATTCACTTTTTCCTAAAAGGGAAGGGCTACAAAATCATTACGATTATTTATTTTGGCACTTATCAATATGTTTTGATTTAAAAGAGATATATTAAGCTATGCATTTAATTTACTTTTACATTTAATTTAATTTACTTTAAATTTTCCGATTTTTCAAAAATGTTTTTTTCTTATGTATCTGTTTTGTTTGTACATTTATTTTCAGAAAAAAAATATTAAATTATTTATAATATTACGAAAAAATATACCTACCTGTACAGTGCCATGTGTTTTCGACAGATTTAATTCAAGACTGTGGATATAGGAACTTACATCTATTTAATTAAATAAAAGGTTTTGCTAAGCATACTATTATTTATTTTCCTACCTGTGCCCACAAGATTTTGACAACCCTAGCACCTACAAATTGCTTTTTTGAAAACAAATGGATATTGGAGGCTAAAATTGCCTAAACGTATTATAGTGGATTTATTGTGCAAAAGCGTTTGGTACCGTAATAGAACGTCCACTTTGCCTTTAAACTTATATTAGTTCTAAGAGCTATAGTCCCGCAAAGAACGGATGCGGGCAAACGTGGACGAAAATAAAGGTAAGCCAGTCATCAAAATTTCAAATTACTTGAAATTTTATGTAAATAAGACTGAATTTACAATCGTAACACAATTCCATAATCGGCTAGGCCATCCTTAGAAATTGAGAAGTATAACATACCATACAATCTTTTAAAGAAAATCAACAAGCGGGTAATATTGGACGGTTTGACAGAAATATATTTTTGACACCTGTATTAGTTACACGTAGCAGAGCCATACTGAAGATAAATTGTGGTTGCAGCACGAATGGGTCGGCTTGACAGGGGTCGGGCACACAAAAAAACCAGCGTAAAATAGCAGCTTGATGGTGCTGTATTTCGTATACTGAGCGTAGAAAACCGGAGACCCCTTTTACTGGAAATGAGGCATTCCATCTCAGTCCTCAGGGCTGAAAACGCATCTGCATTGTGATACTTAATTGAAGATAAACGGAGATGTCTATGGGCCACATCATGTATTTACTTGTGTACTTACCGACAGGTGGACTGTGGACTCATTTGTCACCCTTATACTATCAAAAGATTTAATAAAAGTCACTCAATAACTATGTACTGTAAATAATTCTTATTAAAATGTGACAGAGAAACCGTAACAGGCAATGGGTACCATCTGTTTATAGG